TTCTGTTGTCCATCCCCCAGGGAGGAGGTTATATGTGGATCCATGTAATCGGTTACCCCTTTCCATCCCACCTTCCCTCCACCCTTCCAGTATCACCACTGGTCCTGAAGGATTCATCTGTCCTGGTTCCCTGTATTTCCAGTTCCTATCTGTACCAGTGCACATCCTCTGGTCTAGCCAGATTTTTAAGGTGGAACTGGGATCATGATAGTGGGGGGGGGGGGAAATGAAGCATTAAAGAACTAGAGGAAAGTTGTATGTTTCATCGTTGCTGCCCTGCACCCTGATTGGCTCATCTCCTACCTGTGACCCTTCTGAAGGGGATGTCCAGTTGTCTGCAGATGGGCTTTGGCTCCCCACTTTGCACTGCCCCTCATTCTCAATGATATGATTTTTTTTTTCTTTGATGCCTGATCTCTGATCCCTTTGACACCTTGTGATCACATACTGTCAACAATCTTGACAAATAAAATAGTGCCTTCAGAATACTTTAAGTGCCCACAATACCAACTAGCTCACTATGTGGAAAGAATGACCCACTTCAAAGTTGGTGAGTGACCATGTCCTATGGCCCAAACACTGGAAGCATGTACATAGTGGAAGGGAACCAAGGTAGTCTACATTGTTCCTCTGGCAATTGTGAATGTGTCTGCTTTCCAACATTTATAAAGTTATGACTGTTTCCTCAGGCCAAGCAAGAGTCATGTCATAGCCAATTTTGTATTGTGTATCATATGCATTTCTTTTATTTTTTGAAAGGACTCTTCCAAATTGTACGTGTTAGATGCTACAAAACACGTTTTGCCTTAGTTACTTAAAACAGTGCCTGAGTCATACATGAAATAGCTGAATAGTGATCATTTAAAAACTACCAACACAATAAAGGAAGCTGCAAAATGAGAAAAGTACCTCTATATTCAATAATTTACACACTTCCCTGTAAGGCAATAATGTGTGTGTGCGTGTGTGTGTGTGTGTGTGTGTGTGTAGAAAGGAGTGTGGCTCAAATCAAATAAGCATAGGGTCTAGTTGCTAAGACAAACTTACATTTAGGGCACCGACACATCTTCCCTCTTTTTTGGATGCATGGCCTGAAACGAAACTGTCTAGTACATCGCACATAAGTAATGAGTGGACAGATGAGTGGGTGATAGATGAAGGGCAGATGGATGGGTCCCTAAACACCTGCTAAGTCGAGCTGTTTAAATGATGAAGAGTGGCCATGTCCGACCTCCTCCGGAATCCCTGTTGCCATTAGGTAGACATGCACCCACCATCCAGCCTGTCTCACCCCTTCTGATCCCAACCATTCCCCAGGGCACTCTACTTCGATTCTGAGTTCAATACTTTGTTCTCATAGGCACAAGAACCTCAGACCAAACACAATGAAGGCGGTTTCTTAGGCACGTTCATTGTTGTTGTCGTCACTACTGTTAGGTGCTTTCAAGCGGGTTCTGAATCATAGTGACCCTCTGCACAGCAGAACAAAGCACAGCCTCGTCCTACACCATCTCCATCATTGTGTGTTTGAGCTTACTGGTACAGCCACGGTGTCAACAGTGGAGGGTTCACCTCTGTTGTGCCACGTGCATCCCCGTGCATGATTTAATGTGGCCCTTCCAGCCTAAGCTCTAGCTCCCACCACAGCTCTTTCCCTGCTCGGGTCTGGAAAGACAGCTGGGATGATACTGATAGGATTCACGGCAAACAGGATTCCCCGCATGCCATCCTGCTGCGTCTAAAATGAGGCCTCTGAGAAGCAGGAGGAAGGATCCCATTACCATCAAGAGTCAGGAGTGCAGCCCATCCTCTGGACCGGAGACGCCTGTGCAGTGACTCTCCAGCGTCCAGAAGGCAGTGGTATCAGAGGAACAGCAGCATCACAGGAACCAGAGCATGGGGCAGCGTGGTAGACTTCTCAACCCATTGAGTACGTAAAGTGGAGTGCTTCTGTGTAGCGGGCTAGCTCCCAAGAGTCGGGTGCATCTCCTGCACTCAATTGGGGATGCTTGGCTTGCTGACGCAGAGAAGTAGAGGTGAGTGCCATTGGGGGTGGAGTTTATTATAGTGGGGTGTCTCTGGGCACTTACTTCAGAGATCTGGGTTTGCTGATCCAAAGAGCTTGAGCTGAATGCCTTCTGGAGGAGGCTTCCAGTGGAGAGGTAAAGCCCTGTGGACATTTACTAGCAGATGATTGGCAACTTGTGCCAATGCACAACTGTATCCTGAGCACTTCTCACTTGCTTTACAACCTGTTAGCTTCTTTAATAAACCCTTGTGGTAGTTAGATAATTTCATGTCAACTTGATAAATTGGTCTTGGGGAGGAATCTA